TGACATGTTTTCTTCACAAACCTAAAGCTAACAATGTCTAATAAGAGAGATACGACCCCATGAACTTACCTGTTCAGTTGGAATCGAGCTTTGCAATGGAGGGTGTTTCAGAGTGAAATGATGACTTGTATAGCTTCCTTGAAGTGTAAGGATGCTTTTCCAAGTCCTACTTTGTCTTGAAACTCCCTGAATCGAGCTAGTGCACTCCAACTGCAAAACAGAAAATTAAAAATGGTGAAGTGGCTTGGAGGTGTTACAGGTCAGGTTTCAGGTCATGGTTAGCTTGCATAAGTACTAGGGAATGTGTGTGAACTGGTTTTGGCACAAGAACTTGAGGGAAATAGGAGTTAGCAATCAAACTGCAGAGGCAACTCTGTTTTTGCAGTTTGATGGTGTTTTTTGGTTTGAGGATGTTTGGGAGGTCAATGGCTCGTGCAAAAACTTGGATATGATATATGTAATGTGTTTGATAACTTCTTTCTTGTGTTTCTATGCTGAAGAGAGAGTTGGTACAAGTTATGGACTTTTCTTGAACTTGAAGCAAACAAATGCAACTTGGCTTTCTAGGTCAGTAGAGGACCCCCTAATGTGCTGCATAATCCTCTCTTGATCAGTGTGTTATGCACATAATCTTGTGCCAAGCAGATTTTCCATGTACTTTCTTGATTTGCAATTGGACATAAAGTTAATCTTTTCAAAAATGGAAAGTTCACTTTATCTAGTTTAGGATTAATCTTGCATACAATGCTTGCACTCAAAGAACAACACTTTAACACATTGAATATGTATTAAATTATTGAGTATGGAATGGTTCAAGGACCTGTAATCAAGCATAAAGCAAGCTGAGTTCAAATTTGCAAGATTATGAACATGTCTTGGTTAAGAACAAAAGTGAATTTTTGCCAACTTGTGAAATTCGAATCTCTCAAGTTATGCGGTTGTTTGAGAAGTTCTTGGATATTTTGGAAAGCTTGGAATGTGTACTACAATCCATCTTTGAAATGCAAATTGAAATCCAAGTGGAAGGGTATGAAAAATGGCCTTGAAGTGGGGTAGAAAACCTTGTCAAAATAGGTTAAAATTTCACTAAGTTAAAAATGGTTTAGTGCCCTTATTCAAAAAATTGTAACTTGAGATACAAGCTTCAAATGAGAAAACTTTGTGAATCAAAGTTGTAGATTATGCAACAAGCTACAACTTTCATGTTTTGACTTTTGTTTGAATCCAAATGGATCTTGGTGAAAAGGTGGGGCAAAGTTGGGAAAAAATTAGGGTTTTTCATAACTTAGAAAAATTCTAAGTTATGAAAAATTCCATTTTCTAACCCTAATTTGCATTTTGTGATTTCTTGATGAACAAGTTTCATGATTTGGCATGTTTTGATGAAAAATGAATCTTGACTCTTGATTTTGACCAAAAAGTCAAAGTTTGACTTTTCAGTGTACAGTCAAAATTGATCAATTGACTGGGAAATTCAACTGTCAATCTTGTGTACTTGGGATCTTTTGAGCTTGATGAATGTGTCAAGACCATTTCATTGAGTCCTTGAGTCCATATGTGAGCTTGATTTGCCAATGGCTAGGTCAAACAGTCAAAAATTGCCTTTGTACAGTCAAAACCCTAAAAATGACCATTTTGCCCTTTTGGTGATCTGATCAAATTTCTTATGGAATTGTGATCCAAATTTGATCAAATGGTCCATATGAGTTCATAATGTTGATGTGGGTCAAATTTCATGAGTTTTGACTGTCAATTGGCCACAGTTGACTTTTTTCCCCAATACAGCTGATTTCTAGGTCAACTGTCCAATTGACTAGGTAAAACTTGGAATCAAGACTTGATACTTGGCATGGGTAAACTTGGGAGTCCAACATGAAGCATGAAAGTCATCTTAGGCATTTTAGGTCAAAACATCCTTGGGCAAACACAAACCCTAATTTGAGTCCACAGTGCAAGGAGATGTCTTGAGCAGAGGAAATCCTAGCTGGATCTTGATCTTCAAAGGTCTTGTGATGAGAAAATGTTGAGGAAATGGGAGGGCAAATTTTGGGGTACAACATCATTCTTGTGAACTCATCAACAAATGACACAAAATATTTATTCCCTCCAGTCGATGCTACTGGAAACGGACCGCACACATTAGAATGTACTACTCCCAAGACATGTTTTGCTCTTGAAGCTACTTCTGATGCAAAAGGTAATCTTGGTTGCTTCTCTTCCATGCACACCTTGCATGACTTTTCAGGCTTCTTGGTTGTAGGAATTCCATATACTAGATTCTTTGATATCAGATGTCCTAAACTTCTGAAATTTAGATGACCAAATCTTTTGTGCCACAACTCACTCTCCTTGACAATACTTGTTGCACTAAGACATTCAGAGTCTGCAGTTCTAACATTCACCTTGAATGTTCTGTTCCTTCCTTGTTCTGACTCCATAATCAGCTTCTAATTACAGTCATACAACTTCAGAAGATTGACCTTTACAGTAACTGAAAAACCTTTCTCAACCAGTTGTCCCACACTCATCAGATTGCTTTTCATGCCAGGTACATACCAAACATTCTGGATCACTGTTGCTTTCCCATTGTTTAGAATGATTCTGACATTTCTTATACCTTTTGTATTTAGGTATTTATCATCAGCACATCTGATTTTTGTACTCTTCCCAGAGTCAAAATCAACCAACCACTTCTTGTTTCCAATAAGATGGTTTGAACACCCTGTGTCCATATACCACCATTCTGATGAATTCAGATCATCAGGTTCAGAAGTCAACAATAACACAGGTTCATCATCAGACTCTCCTCTTGCTATATTTGCTTCTTCTGACTTCCTTTCTTTGTTGGACCAGCAATATCTGGCATACTGACCAAAGTTCTTGCAACAGTAACACTGAACATTCTTCATGTCAGACTTCTCCTTTCCCTTCTAGACATTCTTCTGCCTATCAGAATTTGAAGCTTCTGACTTTTGACCACCATTAATTTTCTTCCCGACTTCTGACCAAGTCAGCTTCTTATGCTTCTTACCAGAAGTTACCTTCAGAGCCTACTGCTCTACTTCCCTCTTAGAAGTTCTTGCAGTCATACGCAACTCATGCACCTCTAGACTACTTTGTAGCTCTTCAACTCTCACGGTGCTTAGATATTTGGAATGTTCAATTGCTACAACAATATAATCAAACTGAGAAGTTAAAGATCTCAAGATCTTCTCAATAATTATTTGTTCAGACAGAGTTTCTCCACAAGCTTTTATCTCATTAGTGATCAAAATCACTCTAGAGATGTATTCAGAAACTTTCTCGTTGTCCTTCATGTTGAGATTCTCATATTGCTTTTTGAGAGACTGAAGCTTCACCTTCTTCACTGATGTGTCACCACCGTAACATCTGACCAGTGTGTCACACGCAGCCTTTGCTGTTTCAGAATCAACAATCTTCTCAAACACATTCACATCCACACATTGATGGATGTAGAACAATGCTTTCTGATCTTTCTTCCTCGGTGCCTTCTGTGCTATCTTCTGGTCCTCTGTTGCATCTGCTTCTAACAGATTATAGCCATCAGTAATAAATTCTAACACATCTTGAGAGCCAAATAACACGCGCATCTGGATCTTCCAACGATTCTAGTTTTTTCCATCAAATACTGGAAGCTTGGAATGAATATTGTCATTGTTTCCGTTCATCTTCTACCTTATGCAATTTACGCAGAATTTCCCAAATCAATATTTTCTCAAAACTCCCAGAATCAGAATATTATAATTCTTAATCACAATATTTCTTTTTCCGTGGATTTCGAACCGGAGCTCTAGATACTAATTGTTGAAACACAAGAAAGATAAAAGACAAAAGAAATATTTACTGATAGTTTCAAAAATAAAGATTTACAATGAATTACAATAACTTACTTCACTAGACTATTTATACACACAAATTAAATCTAAAATATATCTTCTACAAAGATATAAGAAGATCTAAGATTTATATCTTTTAACAAAGATATAAACAATCTAAAAGATATTTTTAAATATAAATTAATATCTAATTAAATCTAAATAAATTCTAACAAAATTAACAATCAAAATATGAGATAGGTAGAAAAATTTGGTTGAATTGACAGTCAAAATCTGAGTTAGATCGAGAAGTTTGATTGAATTGGCTGAGCAACCTTCTTTTATAGTTAATGATAGTGATAAATGTACACACTTTTGACGCTTACGTCAATACAATAACAAAATGAAAATGATTAGCATGAGAAGGAGAAATTGTGTAACTTTCAAGTAATGGTGTGATAATAAATGACGTATGAGGTGTTGCAAATGTGTGAAGATTCCATACAAAGACAATTGTGAAACGACTTGGACATCCTCGATATACCCTGGGTGAGGGATTCTGTTACATGTTGGCAGGTGGCGTGGACTTTTAAGTCAAATCCAGAACAATTTTGAAGTCTAATCCAGAACAACTTTGAAGTCAAATTTTTTTTATGATCTTTCATTTATAAATGACCAACAATGTAAAATATTTTCACTCATAGTGTATTTGAGTTTAATTTATAATGAAACAAAACGTTTTGAGGTCCAAAACATAAGAAGTGCACACTTTATAAAGACCAAAACTATACTTTGAGCTTAAAAGCAATTTACATAACTACTTCAAGGAACAACTACTATTACAATACATATTTTGACACACATAACGTGAGACTCAGTTTTGTACTGGCGATAGAATGACATGTTCCTTTAGCACGATTATTGATGTCAATAATCATCAATCTATCTATTTGTTAATATTTCACCAGTTAAAACACAGTATCATGACAATCTCAAACTGCATCGCCTTCAGCCCAATTCACTAGTTAGAATACCTGTGATTACGAAACGAGGGATAGAGGGCATTCTTAAAAACATGATTATATAATCCCAATTTTCCCTGAAGGTGCACAACTCCACCTTTGTGAGTCATTTATAGCCTATAGGGTGTCAAAGATCGCAGAGCTAGGCTGAAACCTCTTTTTGGTAACGCTGAAAGTTGTCACCATAATGCAGAAGTTGCGATACAGAAAGAGGTAAATTTGCCATCAGATATATCGTGAACTCCTTCAAACTAGTAGTTAGAAGACCTGCTAGCCCGTCAATTTCTGGTTCATATTGCTCATAAACAAAGAATACCATAAATGCAAGGACCAGACCTGCATAAAATTTTGTCAGTGTGTAATAGTGAAAGGCATACCACTAAAGTTCAGTAACTTCAAAAAACAATCCCATACCTATGCCTATCAATGTTGTCAAGAACTTTGACAGGGTCAACTTCAGAAGGTAAATAAGAACCACAACCTGCATGTTTTAGATATGTCATGAGAAGGAAGAGAATCCAAGAGTTTAAATCACTGTAAAAATTTATTCATATATAAATCATTCATTGTTGCAAGACTGTCTCTCTAAAAGCCTATCTTTGTTTTGAAAGAAAATGAAGGAAGGAAAGAAACTAGAGTGGAGAGAAAATGAGTTTGGAGAACTAAAAGAAATGATAGGATTCACAACATGCTTTTCTTGCTAGAGAAATGAGTTAAAATACTTTGTTAAAATGATATGTTAACACATATAACCAACATTATATTATATATCAAATGATATAAAAGTTACAATATTTTCATCTCTTTTTCACTTCCTTTCCACCAACCAATAAAAGGAGAAGGAATGTTTACTTTCCCTTTTTTGGCATTTAAACAAAGCCAAGTATCAGCATGTCTGGATTCAAATAAAAATCCTCATTCTCGTGTCCCAATATTATTTTACCACGACTTTAAGAAGCTAGAAAATGGAGCTTCTCAATACCATGCGAAGAGTGGTGACACCCTCGAAACAAAAGTTTCGAAACACATTAAGACAAAAATAGAAATGCTGATTCACAGGCTAATTGGAAGAATAGAAATTTAGAACTTTTTTTCAAACAATCTCTTAATCCTTCCGTAGTCCTTTCTCTAAAATCTCTCTTTACACCTCTTCTTACTTTCTATCACTTTATTCCTTTCCATCACATCATACATCAAATATCCCAATTTTATTGTTTCTTTCCTATACCCCTCAAACCCCAAATAAGGGTCGTTGGACAATCTTTATCCTTTTCAAAAACCCAAATAAAAGATCCTAACATTGAATAGAGTACATAATTTGCACTCTATACATTCTATTAAATGGATAATGTCTACATCATATATTTAAAAGAAAACATAATAAATTTAATTAGAATAAGACAGGAAGGGACTTGTTTAAAATAAATAATAAGTGATAATAATACGAGACCGCATTTTACCTTGAAAAATTTAGACCAATCATCCCCATGGGCCAGTCCCTTTATATTTTGAAACCCCTTGTTCCATAGATATACTGTAATTGCAACTGAATCTTTCACCACCGTATTAGAGATCTTAAAATTAGACGCAGGCAGCCTCTGTGTAGGGGGGCCAAACCTGCAGCAAAGTGTTGTGCAGTTAGTCATTGGAAAAGATTTTTCAGTGACATTGAAGGAAAATATGAGCCAAAATTCCCAAAACAATTTTAAAACCTTTATTAAATATAAAAGTATGAAGCAATTCCTGTACATAGCAGTGATTTGTGGTGAGATATAAGTATCCTTTATGGTTAGGAAATAAACTATATCACTCTTGAAATAACTTAACTAAATATATTAGCCATAAATAACTATTATCAAATCTAGTTGTGCCAAAGATGTAACCACCAGGAATGAAAACAGAGAGAGGGCCAACTTCTGAATAACAGAACAGGCTTTTCATTGAAAAAATTGAGCTATACTGTCCAGGATACAAGTTGCCTAACTTTCTTAAAAATGCAGAAATATGAAGTAACTTCATATGAACATACACGTACAGCTTTGATGGCAGAAAACCATGTCCGCATAGAAGTAAAGTGGCAAGCAGCAAAAGCCTTGCACCAGATGATATAAAACTGCTTCCAGAAAGGAAAAACCAATAAAACAAAGAAAACAGCCCAAGGAAATATGTGAAGGATGCTTTCTCGTCTCTCCATAACAAAATGTCAGCCACTGCAACAATAAAATGTGATGTCGTTCAATTATTTGGCATGACAAACTGATACTTAGGTGTATTGATTCAAAATAGTATACACCTTTAATTGCATCCATGTGATATGAATGACTCAAATTGTATCCTACCTACATGGTTTTGTAATAATATAATAAAAGTCCATTTGCTCAACAATTGTGTATTCAGGTTTCTGACTAGAAGACACTAACAAGAGAAAAGTACATAAGTGATGCAATATGAGGGAACATCCGTGAAAAATAATTTTCAGTCCACTTTCATACTAATGGAGGACAGTCAATATTTCAGAATGGGTGCAAATGAGATGTTTTATTTTCCTTACCCTTATTTTATTTTGTACTAATACACAAGTGTAAGGAAGATAGATGTCATTACAAAATTTTGCAACTGAGCACACTTTTAAGTAAACAAAAATTGAGATACCCCGGCAAGCCTACAAGCAAGATATTTACTGTTGTTTGGGTGTGCCTTTAAACTTATGTCAGGATATACTTGCAGGTTATGAGTTAGTTAAACAAAGAAGATGCTACCAATTCATGCAGTAAGACATGCCTAGCAATGTGCTCTAAGTCATTCCATTTCAACCAAAAGTTGCTATCATTTTAATTAATCTAAGAGAACAAAACTTCATTAGTGTAGAACTGTAGATATAAACATTTTAACACAAGTGTTATGTTCCAACCTTTTCCACAGCCAAGCAGCTTATCTGCTTTTGACCGATCGACACACCCAGAGCATCTTGAAAAAGATGAATCTTTAGCTAAATGAGCGAATGATTCTATGGTTAAGGTGACACCTTCCTGTATTATCCAATATCAGTAAATATAAAAGCAAATCTTATTAGTAAGAATTTCAGTACCATAGAGAGGCTGCCTAAAAAAAAATTCTGTTTAGAGCAGTTCTAAAGTAAAATATATGAAGGAAAAGAAGGTGATTGCTACTGGTTAATCATTTATAAAGTCTACTGTTTTCAGCTTTTATAAATCCCTCAATGGATGATTTGGAAGCAAAATTTAGTTATTGAAGAATGGTAAGAATCCATCTCTAATTAATATTCCAGAAGTGCCTTGGTTAACAGAAGGATTGACAAAAATAAATTAAAAGGCCCTCTAATGCATTTGCGTGAAATCTGGGGTCCAAACAGTATGGAGAGGAATCAATCATTTTCATTGAATTAGTCATCATTTCGATAGATAATATTTTATCTTTGACCTAGTTGCATGTTATATCCCATATAGTAGTAGGTTGTCACTAAGTTCAAACAGGAAAGAACAAGAATACAGAATATAAGTAACAATTAAACATAAACAAGAAAATTTAAAACCTCAAGGGAGACTATCGGCGTGTATCCAATATCTTTTTGAGCTGCTGAGCAGTTGAATGTTTGGGTGTGTGATGCTAACTGAAGAAAACGAACTAATAAAGGATAATTGAAGCATCTGGGTCCCAACTTTTCATGTAACCGTATTAAAACTGAGAGAACGTATTGCACCAAATTGGCAGGAAGTTTGATGAACGGCCTGCAATTAAAGGAAGGATTTCTATATCTTGGTCAACAGCATAAGAGGTATAAAAAAACTAGTAATACAGAAAAGCAAGAAATATTGTTTATTCCTCCTGCAGTCAATGAAGTAGTAAACCAAATGAGCAAAGCTACCAAAGAACATCACAAACAAAAAAGAACCAAGTTCTTCAAAAAAAAATAGAGTTAAGATGGTATGACATCTCCTATATTGACATGAAAAAGAAAATTTGATATAGCTTGATAGGACCCATTTAGAGAAAGAGGCCCCGTTTAGAGAAAGAGGCCCAAATGGAGAGGAAAAGTGCTGACTTGACAAGTTGGTTAGAGATAATGGGGAAGTTACAAGTGAATAGGAGTATATGAGGTATGTGAGAGGGAAATAGTGGGATTATTCGGTATCATTTGTATTAGATTAGAACCTTAGGGTTGGGCAAAGGGAGGTTTCTTCTTCCTTTGAGGAGCTTTGCTCTGGGATTATAGAGAATTTATTCACTGTAATAGCTTCTTTTTATCATTAATAATAATTTTCTCTTATTTCTTTAATTGGGTTCCTAACAAATTGGTCCGACCTACCGGATCTCGAGACGGAGCCAGTGACTTGCTAAAACCAGATAACTGCTGGAAATTATCGGAAACTACTAGATAATTACCGGAAACGGTCAGAAGCTACTGGATAACTGCCGGAAACTGCTGGAAACTGTCGGATAACTGCTGGAAACTGTCGGATAACTGCAGGAAACTACCGTTTAACTGCCCGAAACTGCTGGATAACTGCCCAAAACTGCCGGAAATTACCGGATAATCGACGGAGAGCCAGTGTTAGAGATGGTAATGGTAGAATCCTCTAATTAGTTTGTGAATGAAGGGCTGCCTGAATTTGTGGGTGAAAACCCCTTTGGATGGATCATCAAAGCAGAACGGTTCTTTCTGGAGCAAAAAACCCATTCATCTGATAAAATGCAGTGGCCATTCATGAGAATGGAAGGTGTTGCTATGTTGTGGTTCCAGTCTTGGTGTCAAGACAACTTTGATGCCGATTGGACATCATTTTCCATAGCTTTGATGAGAAGATTTGGGGGTCAGGTGAAGAAAACCATGCAGGAAAATCCAGAAACACCAACAGAATCGCAGACAGAGATTGAGGAAAGCAAGGAATCTAAGTTAGAGGTGATAGAAGCAACTTTTGATGGCGGAGAAGAAACAATCTGCAGGGACTTGTTACGTGGTTGCAGTTTGTATGAAGAGATGCACCACAATGCATCTGCACTTAGATCTGAAAAGATCGTGGTTGCAATGGCCGAAAAGGTGAAAGTAAAAACTTGGTTCAGCCAACAGAAGCAAGAAGAAACAGTCACAATGCGGGTGGGGTCAATCCACTACCTCCGGCGAAACCTCCGCACGCTGATATTCAAGTTGTGACTTCCTCACTGCCACTGAATCTGCAGCAACGAGAAATCATTGTGCGACAGAAGCGGTTGAAGGATTATTCCCGAGTTGTGGGCCTCCCACCTCCAAGAAATCCACCAGACGATGATTCAAGTGTTGTGTTTTTCTCAACGCCGCCAGGGAATTTCAATATTATGAAGGTAGTAATTGTTTGCGAATGCTATTGGAGGAACTTACTCACTTTCTACCGCGGGCTTAATTTTGTATATGATAGGGGGGAAACTTGGAGAATCCAAACTCGTGTTAAAAACCACAAATTGGATTCTACTAGAGGATCATGGCGTGTCAATAAGCTGGGGTTATTTTCTGAATTCATTGGTCAATTCTATCAAGAAAGGAACTATAATTGGCAAAAAGAGAATGATGTATGGTCCTTAAGTATATTGCTGCAATTGCTGTTCATTTTTAACTCCCTAAACAGGCTCATTACTATGTGGTTCTCTAATACACTAATGTCTCACCTAGCTGCAAGGAAGGCAACAGAAACTACTTCCAACCTCGAGGACAAGGTTGATTATAAGAGGGTGATATTGATAGGACCCATTTAGAGAAAGAGGCCCCCATTTAGAGAAAGAGGCCCCCATTTAGAGAAAGAGTCACAAATGGAGAGGGAAAGTGCTTACTTGGTAAGTTGGTTAGAGATAATGGGGAAGTTACAAGTGAATAGGAGTATATGAGGTATGTGAGGGAAATAGTGGGATTATTCAGTATCATTTGTATTAGAACCTTAGGGTTGGGCAAAGGGAGGTTCTTCTTCCTTTGAGGAGCTTTGCTCTGAGATTATAGAGAATTTATTCACTGTAATAGCTTCTTTTTATCATTAATAATAATTTTCTCTTATTTCTTGAATTGGGTTCCTAACATAGCTTGTGGCTGTATTTTTCCTAACCATATGAGCAGAGTATATATAATTTACGGAGTTTTGTTTTTCACCAAAAAAAGCTCATATACATATCATATGATTATGTCGGTCAAACATATATAACTAAGCATCAGCAATATTTTAGACAATGTTATGTCATCATTACAAAAACAAGTTCCAATTCATACCTTTGGTATCCAAGACCTTCCAATAAAAGTGAGAGAAATTCCCTAAACTTCTTAGGCTCAAGATTCGTGATAAAAAATGCCTGCAGACAAAGTAGAAAAACGTTTGTTATGCTTAAATATCAAACAAAGCAGTTAAGACAACCTCGTTGAATTCAATATATACACCTTTCCAGCCACAGAAACTGTTTGGAAATTTAAGGCTTCTTCTGCACAGATATGGGCATGAGCAACATTCTCATAAAAGGTGAAGTCTGACAGATTATCACCATTCCCTATAATAAACTGAAATGAGAAATTGTTACTCCAAAAAAAAGTTGACATTCAATTGATAATCAGTAATGCTAACCAATGTAAATCACGAGCCACATGTAAACTACTAAGAAAGTAGGAAATTTAGAACTCGGCTTCATGGCATAACTCAATAGTATTTACAGCATATTCGATAATAGCTGGTAATCAAGGAGGATCCATAATTGTGGAGTTCAGAGATTGCCTCAAGCACAAGGGTCAGTGTGAAATTATGTTTACTAACATATATATATAATGGGTTTCAGATCAGACAGTTCTAACTATTTAAGTAAAAAATTGGCGGAAAAGGTATCACCAAGAAATATGAATCAAGTTTCCTATTTTAGTGAAGTTGAAATTCAGAAAAGGCCATAGACAAGCATTCAATTGGTGTACTAAGAAAAGCATGAAAAATTAAAATGTTGGCTTTTATAATGAAGAAAAAAAAAGAAACAGAAAACAACTTATTTGTGTTTCCATTAGAACCTAAAATCTTTAGCTCCTCCAAAAGTACTTATGAAACAGTCACTATGCAAATAGGCACATGAAAAAACTCCTAGATGTTGCATGAGACCAAATGTCCATTTGTCATGATCCTTTGAGAGGTAAAACTTGAAAAGGGAAGATTTATCAAACCTATAATCTCTTTTCACATGTTTAACAAGGAAGATTTAAGTTAATTTCAACCTTAATACAAGACCCGTAAGGTAACTAAAGTTAAGCTTTGTAAAGCTTATGTTACTACTAATTTCAACCTTAATACAAGACCCGTAAGGTAACAAGAGTAATGTACCTTTGTGAAACCATATCTTGCTAACTTGAGAAAATATGGCACAAGTTCTGTGTCACCAGGACCAAAGACATTACTAGGACGAAGTGAGCATGTCAACACTCCATCAATATCATTGGCATCCAAGACCAAGGCTTCTGCATGAGCCTTAAGGTCTATTAACATGTCATCAACCTGCAAATTCATTTCCCGTTTTAAAAACACTTATTTAATTGTAAATGAAAAACACCAAACCCAATCTCTCAAGATGAAGCAATGTAAACAAAACCTCACTTTCCACTGATATGCCGACGATTTAACTCCATTATGCAAATCATCAAACACAACATCTGCAGAACTGTTGTATATCAGACGCTTCACTTTACATTCTCTGCAAGCATTAATCACATTCTTCGCACCTGAATTAAACATCAAATTAGGTTATTGAGAAAATGAAACCAATGCAATTAGCAATCAGAGCAAACGGAAGTGTGTACTAGAACCTTGAACTATCAGCTTATAGCAGCTGTAGAAATCATTGTCATAACTGATGCCATCAACATCCATATAAAAAACAACGGAAGAACCTTCAAGAACTGCACAAAACACCGATAGTTTCTTTACTTTTACATTTCAATAGAAAAATTGAAAGAAAATTGCATCGATTACGGGAAGTAAACGTGTACCTTTGGCGACACGGTGTTTATCGGTAATGTCGAGATGGAAGTACGAAGCGCGGGAAGAAGAGAGAGCTTCGGCGAGGAGTGACTCGGAGTGGTGAAGTTGGAGTGAGTGAGTGGAATCGGCAACTCGGACGATCCAATTACCGAGTTTCAACAGTCGCAAAACCAACGATTTTCCTATGAATCCTCTTCCGCCTAAAACCACACACGTTTTAGGGTTCAAATCGGTGAAGCGATCGTCCATTGATGCGAGCGACTGTGAAACGATGAATGTTAATGTCGTATCGTATTCAATTAATTATTCGTTCAAGAACAATGTTGGTTAATAATGAGAGAAGAGAACAGCGAAAGAGAAGAGTAGTTACTTGAACACAAGAAGAAGAGTTCTTGTTTTCTTTGCTTTGGCGCGGAAAATGTTACTCGCACGAGTAGGGACCCTGGCTAGAATCTTTTTGGACAATAGAAGATAGCGAGAGTTAAGAATCTGGATATAAACTTGATGATGTTGATTGCGTTACATTTTGTGTAGTATTAAACTATTAATGAACCATTCAAAAGTATATTAATGAAATTTTTGAGCAGTGAAATAATAATGAAATATAATTATATACATAAGGTAAAAGTTACTTAAACTTGGATGATGATGATGATCACACACATCACACGGTTTATGGTGGAGAGTGTGACCTACCAAATTGTTGTCACCATCTTGTACATTTTATGTGCTTTTATGATTCCTATAACAGGATGTGAACATTAAGACATGTCTAACTGCACCAGATTGGAAGTGGTTAACCAAAATAATTGCAAATATATTATAAGGAATAGAAAATGATAGATCATGGCGTTGTTGTACAAGGGATGAAAGTGCTGTTGAATGACGATAACCGGTAAAGTTTTGGTGTTTAGGTGGAATCTGTCCATCAAGTTATAAATTTGTGAAAGTTACCATCTACCTTTAATTAAAGAGGTGCACTTTCCAATCCACTTCAATCTATTTCTTTCTCTAAAGTTTACTCAAGCCATCTTCACCTTCAAGCAAGAAAACGTGCCCAAATGGAAATACTTATAATATACACTGGCTAATAATGGTCAGTAACAGACCAAAAAATGATCCCCAATCAAAGTTGATAATTGGAAGCTAATTTCATACTTGAATACGAATACGAAGCTACCAGCACCATCACAAGTTCACTATGAAGCTACAACTAATTGCTTCAAAAGCATTGCAACACTTGGCATTCTTAACATATGCAGTAATGCAACCATTCGATACGAGATACGATAAAACGAAGTCTGTGATGGGCTTCTTCAATACGTCTATTTTTATTTTTACTCAATTTGACAACAAAAAATTTGATCTAATTTTATATCAATAAATCTGAAATGAACTTAAAGAGAATCGAGAAAGTATGTTAAGACACCGAAAATTAGTTGTCGGAGGCTTCAATAACCTAATCTATACACAATACACATTTGTATAAATGAAAATTTGTATTGAAAAAAAATCTAAAAATTATCCTCTGCTTGTCGAATAACACCCAGGGCTTTTGCTTCATCTGCTGTGGCTGCAACATTTAGTTTTTGTCGGATTTCGGTGCTCCATGTGCGAAGAAATGGGTTGCAAGCCTTTTCCATCTTCAGTGTAGTTGGAACCTGAGAAACGTCAATAATCTGTTAAAAACATAATACAGAGCATTCAAACAGATCGATAACTACAGGATTTGGATTCCCTCCACTCAAAGAATCACGCAGCTGCTAAAGGAAAAAGAAATCGGACCCGTGGAATCAAAAAAATGCAGCTCACATTTCAAGTTTGCATTTTGAACCGAACGTATCAAAGTTGAAATGTGAGTAGTCTGAACTTAATTAACAGTGTTGATCTCTTGGCTGCAGTGACTTGTACTTTTATACGGTAGGGAATTCTGATAACTAACTAACACGAATGCAAGCTTAATAACAATGAGTTTTGACAGATTGATCAAGAACAGTTACACCATCTGTAAAAGAGGTACAGTTCGCAAACTTACCGTGGGCAAGCCTTTATTTCTAAGGTGAGCTACATGTGAAGCATAGGACTGAAGTTCTTTGTTTCCAGGCTCAATGGATAATGCAAACTTTGAATTATTCTGCCAAGTTTTAAAAAACCCAAGTCAGATCTAAAGCTCCTATGCTTAGAAAAAATGCAGGAAACACAAAGGATAAAATAAAATATAAAACTAACCAATGTATATTCATGACCGCAATATATACTTGTATCATCTGACAACGACATGATCTTGTTAAGGGAAGACAACATCTGTAACACAGAATAAATTCTCAATAATTGGAAATAAAATGCATTACAAGAGAATCAAGTATCTGACTTGACAGTGACACAGTGGACGAAATAGCTAAATCATTTCGACATTGCACATCAGTAACATTCAAAAATCCACACCTAACATTCAAATACAAATAATATAGACAGACAGCATTTGATAAAGTAAAAGAATTGTGTATCAATATCAACATATATTCAAAGTTGAAATACGAAAAACATTGTTTTCTGACAGTGATACTATCACGGCAATTAGTAAGAAAAGGCACAGCAGCATAAATTGAATTAGCATTGCCCCATGTCAATGTTCCAATATAAATTGTTCCTGCACTAAGACTGCATACATAGGGAATTTATCTATCGAAAAATTTTATATGTAGACTACAACTAAAAAATAAAACATGGGTAACCTCAATTCAGACAGGACCTTCCTGTAATAAGTTAAATAATTGTATCATATTTGGTAAAGGAAATTAATATTTACCAGTTATGAATTATTGGAAAAGAATACAAGTTTCAATTATCATACAGTTACAATTTAACTGCAAATTAAATAACCATGGATCAAGTCTTTTTCTGGCAGGTATTTCCAGATTTTAGTACTTCTGGTGACTGGACAAATCAAGGCATGCAAAATAGAATGAAATATTTGCAAGGTTTTGTCACTGAAGATAGAAATCTAAAACCTGGAAAAAGAAAATGAAAACTTAATATAATCTAAATCAACCTGTTCCGGGGTTCCTTCATAGATTTTGCCACAAGATAAGCTAAACAAGGTGTCTCCTGTAAAAATGGCCCCAGATCCAGGAAAGTAAAAGCTTATATGACCTGTAACAAGTTGTATATTGGGAAAGTGAGCCACCGAACACAATAACCTGAAAATCTTTCATAGAAAGTCCTACAACAAAGTATTGACAAAATAAATCGAGGTGTAAAGCCAGATAAAATGAAGTAAAACGGATAATGCCTGTTTTAAATTCAAAAAAATTCTGAACTGTTTTACAAATCGGATTTTCGAAACTAAAAACTCAATCCTCAAGCAAACAATCTCTAGGGGAATTGTTTGGGAGTTTGGAGGGAAAAGGAGGAGGGGGGGCTTAGGGAGGAGATGACTATAGAGAAAAATAGATAAATTTGTAACTTGTTTTGAGAGAGCTTTTGTGTACTTATTATTAACATATTTTTAATATTTAGATTATTATGACTTATGACAAAAAAAATTAGATCTAAAATTTTTATCTAAACACTCCAATGCTTCCCAAAATTCTCCTCCAATACAATTTTTTAGTTCCCACGAACTAGGAGGATTTTATGCTATGAAGAAAAATAAGCCCTCTAAAGCCTCACCTCTCAAATCCATCAATTCTTTCCACTTCATCCTTACCCTTCAAACTCACAAACAAAGCCTAACTGTCTCAAGCATGATATTGGCACAAACACATCAGAATATGCACACCAGTAAGAGTTAAGGAATAGAGTGATAAGGGTGGTATAGGGTTTGATTCCCACCTCCAACAAATACTAACATTAACAATTAACATACTAACATTGGCTGTTTCAAAAATAGAAAATAAAGGTAAGTAAAGTGCAAGAGCCAAAGTGCTAAACACATGAAATTGAGCTGATATTGAATCAACTAAGATATTTTAATAAACCTCAACAAGTAAGAAATACTGATGCAAATAGACTATGAATACAACCTTGGGTGACGCCAGGAGTTGCCATTATATGCACCTCATGACCAGCAAACATCCACTTATCTCCATCACTCAAATAGATATCAATGCCAGGAATTCTTTCCTTGTCTACATTAGAACCAATTACCTATAGCACAACACGAAAATACTTACAAGTTAAGCAAAGTAAACCCCAGTTTAAAGCATATTACACCATTAACGAAAATAAAACGAAAAGCAAAAGCTAAAAAAAATCATACCTTTGCTCCATACCTTTCTTTCAACTCTGCATTTCCATCCGTGTGATCATGATGGTGGTGAGTATTCAATATATATGTCAAATTTAGGTTTTTCTTAGTCAAAGCATCTATGATCGGTGCAGCTTCAGACGGATCAACAACACCAACAGTCCCCGTATCCACATCATATAAAAGATACGCATAATTATCCCTTAAGCACGGAACCTGAAATTCAAAGAAAAACGAGATACAATACAGCACAGATTAGGATTTTGGCGTATTGTGCAGTACTTCAATTTTGCATCATGGATAGATCTGCTCACCACTTCGATCATTAACGAGGACGAAATATTGACAACACTGCAGAATTGATCTACTCTCAGCGACCGGCTAGCTCCACGAAGAGTTTTCAGCGGTATCGAAAAGACTCGACTGAATCCATATAGAAGCCCTTTTCTAAAGCAAATTTGTCTCACATCTGGCAACATACAAAAGCCACTTCTTCCCTATACAACAGAGATTAATTCGATTCAAAATCATTTCCAAATCATAATCAATAAACACACCATGGAGTGAGTACATTATACACTCGCATTTAACAACTCTTACTTATTTTCATGAACAAGTTAAGAACAAAAAAAAAACAGTGATTAATTACAGATATACTAGTAAAGTGATTATTTCCATGAACTTAGATTCTCCAGGGTAAAGAAATTTCAAGCTAATCAAAAATGAAAAATTGTACCTTAATATCGCTCATCGAGTTTGGTGAAAGATAGAGAGAGGATCAGAGGATCAGAGGATCAGAGGAAAAAAGAAGAAGAAGAAGCGAAAAAACGCGCTTAATAAAAGTAGGTAAAAAAAGTGAAAATGTCAGCAGCGAAATTTCGGTTCTACAATAATTGGATATAGGTTTAATTTTGGTAGTGTTTTAATTTTTGCGTAATTTGAGAGATGAATTTAAATATTTTAAAAAAATAGTTAAATTTAAAAGAGAGAAGAAAAATAA